ATGTAAATGTATGTGTCTATGCAGTTCATGTATGAGTGCGTCTAAGTATGTGTGTTTGTGTGTGTATACGTAAGTTACCTCTGCAATTTGCTGCACACAACAGAATTTCCGACTTGCAGCCAATTTTATTTAAATGTTTGATACAACCGACTACTTGCCGCAGGGACTATGCCCATACCCAACACACCATATGCAAGTGTAAATGTGTGCGTGTGTGCGCTAGACACTTGCTCAGCGCTTGATGTGGCGTCTGCCGCTGCAGCACTGTTGCTGCCATTGCTTGACTGGCGCATTTTTGATGTGCGCTGTCAAAAGTGGCTCGCATGATTTACGTTACACAATCGGTGTTACTTCGTACTGCTGCGAGCATTACTCGACAGTATCAACAGAAGCAAAAACAACAACGAAAAGAAATAAATAGCATAAAGCTATCCATTTCTCAAATTTTGCCTATCACTATTGACCAAGTAGCGCTATTGTTGCTTAACATAAAAAATTGCGCAAATTATTTTATATAAAATTCAATCGACCACCAAGTACACCAACATCACAACACATATAAACAGCTTAAATTTGTTGCAATTGCAGCTTGTTATTGCTTTGCTTCGCATAGTCTCTGCTATCTAGCGATCAGTGTATTGTTGCAGCTGCAACTTGAAGAATTTGCACATCATCGAAGCATCAATAAATTGCAAATATTTTCTTCTCTCCTCCCACCCACTCCCATAATATATTTCGCATCTTTTCGGACGTTGTTTATTGCTGTTGTTGGCACGTTTTTGAAATTCTGACAGTTTTATTGCAATTTTATTGAGTAGCTTGTGCTCTATGTACAGTTTGGCACACTGCGCTTATGGCGCATTTTAATACCTGCTTGTAGTTAGTTTTATTGTTAGGTGTATACTTGTGCGCTCCTTTGGCTACTCACATAAAATGATTTTAATCAAATAGTTTTAAGTTTGGCAGTTCAAGCTTTATTAAATTTTTTATTACCATTGCCATCATAGGAATATAAATTTAATTTTTTGTTTTTTGTATATTTTATCAACTTTTACTCTTCGATAACATAAAATCGTTGATGCTTTTGAAGTATAGTTTCAGGCGAAAGTGGAATAAATTCATTTGGTATGCTTTGCCTAACTTTTTGTTTATTTCAATATGTAATTCATTCAACGAAAATCAGGAAAGCTGAGCTATTTTGTTAGAAAATTAGTATACAGGGTGGATCCGTTAGATGATGACATGCTTTCGTTGACCAAAATAAGCAAATGTTGGCCTTTAAGCAGTCTTCCCTTTTAAGGCGGACAGGTTCTACGGAAAACTTGTAAAAAAATTTTCTCACAAAATGGCGACTTACCACTTCTTTGACTGCCCGGATTTTTTTAAAAATAGCAAAATAAAATTTCTAAATATGGATAGTTCCAGATATAGACTAGTCTACAAAGAGGACTCTCTAAAAATTTCAGGTTTTGAAAAAGAGAGTTTTAAGAAAAATGGTTTTAAAGTTTCGCGAAGTGGCTGTGCCAGTTTGGCTGCCAGGTCAGCAAAATACTTATAACTCCAAAAATTATTTGAATTTTAAACAGTCTTCTTCTAGACATAGTTTTGAATGGTTAAGCTTTGAAAATATAAAAGATATCGATTTTTTTATTTCTATACCAGAATAAGATTTACATATCCATTAAAACAATATGCAGAATACAACAATTTCAGAATCTCGTAGCCGATAACTTTTGCACTTCAAGAGCATAGTGCTTATTGCGCGCGCGCTCTAGCTAATTATCGGAAATTCCACTAAGCAACATATAATTTTTTTTTTTAAAGAAAATAAGTTTCAGGTACTTGCCTAGATTTGGTAGTTTCAGACAGGACAAGCTATTTTGCTTAAGACTCTGCAGTTACTGACAGATGCATGCATATTTTTTCAAACAAATGACACGTCAGTCATATTTGGTCTAACAAATCTTCATTTATTTCGGTATAAACCATTCCTTTGGACCACAACCTTGTAGCACCACATACTTAGCTTTGATTTTAAAGCGGATACACCGTATCTGTTGCTGTATTCAGAGAATACAGACGTGCAAAGATCAATTTTGAAATTATCCTGTCTTTGGAGTGCTGTCAAATTGGTTGGGGATCAATAATTCTATTACTGAGGAACACAAAATTTAATTTATTTAACTATTTCCTGACGGTTGTTCTGAACAATTAATCATTTCAAATATAGCTAATAATGGCAAATACTATATTAAACACAGATCTTCATTTAAAGCCCATTTCTATGCCTATTTCTTAGTATATATGTTTTAATTAGAGTTATAAGCGGTGTTCAAAGGTAAGCAATTCCTCTCGATATGTCTGCCCGACTAATCTCATTGACTCATTTACTTTTCGATTTTAATGGAGGCGGCCTCAGATTTGGTATCAGTTTTATGTTTGGCAAAGGATTTAATAGATCAGTTATTTATCAACTTTGATAAAAACATTGGTGGTTAGGGTTATGTGCTATTAAAGACGATTTTTTTTGGTGTAAGACAACTAGCCATAGATCGAGCATACTCATGCGATCTCATACCATATCGGTCGGGTTAATCTTAGACGAATCCTAACTTCGAGAAACTGGTCTTCATCTACACATCTTAAAGTATTCTGATATAAAATGCCAATATAAATTTAAGATGAAAATATGCTAAAAAAGTAGCTCAAAATAATGATCAAACCCAACTCATAAAAACAGTTTTATTTCACAGGCTAACATAAGCTATTTGTTCAACCCTGCGTATAATGTTAATCCTAATTTGCAAAATTCACTCAAAATAAAAAATTTAACTCAAATAAGGACCTGCAGCCTTTGAGTGAAAGCTTAACAAAATCGCTTACAGTATATATGTATATATATATATATAAGAGTGTAAGTGTATAAGAGATTAATTTCAGCAAGATTTACATGTGTTTCATGCACTCACAAATGAAATTTGGCTTTTCAAGCTTCGGTTTTTTTAAAATGTCACGTGCTAAACTTGTGAGTGTGCGATAATACTCGCAGAAGTGCTCGTATAAATCGCTTATTTCGTTCTTAAAGTAATTTCGTGCCGTTGGCAGCATGCGAGTATGCTCTCTAGTTCATCGTACCGTAATATGAAAATTTTAAATTAAGTTTCTACTTGTGCTCAGAGTTCGATTTTAAGTCTCTCAGCTGAGAGTTTGAGTAAAATGAGTTGATTGAGAGCAACGCATAGCTGAATTTGCTAACTGTGAGACGCTTGAGCGACAACAGCTGTTCTCTTGAAGAGCGCCATACTTAAGAATTATCATATTATATTTGATACCGACTAATCGCTGAATTTAGTTTTTGTTTTTAAAAATTGTGCAGTGTAACCTTTACAATAAATTTGCAAATGAGCTTATAAATTATAGCTTTAAATCAGAAGGTAAATCAGCATTGGTGAATGCCTTACGCTTGCATTAACAATATAATAATACTTTATTTTAAGCTATTTATAGATATTTTCATGAACTTAGACAAATAATAACAGAGTTGAAGTCGAAAATTTTCGATTTTTAGGATTTATATAGAAAACTATATCGCGAGATTTATAAACACCATTTTGCTTAGTTCTGTGATTGATTGATTTTTATTTAAATTCTCTCGGATGGTATCTTGAAATATTGTTTGAATAGCTACCTTGGAATCTCGGAGCATTTCTCACATATTCCTGAACTTGAACAAGTAGTATTTTACGCAGTATTTTCTATTCTTCTTGAATATCGAATAAGTTCTTGTTATATATTTAGCTAATTGATTTAAGTGCAGTTAATTGTTCAATTAACGGTATGTCTCATTATTTCTCCCTATTCAGATCCAGATCTGGTACAATAGGTCATACCTCAGGTGTAGCATTAAGTAGTACTACTGGTTCCAAGCCTATTTCATTTGCTAGGTCTCGTTTCCCCGGAAGTTTCGTTTACCAGCGCTGACAGTCCGATATGTCAATCGACTGTCGCTATATGCACCTTCATCTTATATGTTTATATATAATTCATAACTTCATAAATTATCCTATCTTTATGCTTGAATTTAAAATTGCTTGATACGCAAATAAAACAGGCCCACTCAATTAAAGGTTTCCAATTACACAAAATAAATAGACAAGCATGCCGATGAGCACAAATAAATAATTTATGGTAATTGCAGCAAATGATTCGGGTTTAATATTTCACACTAGCGATAGGCGTTTCGAAATTAAATACTTCGCATTGAAATTTGAGAGCATATTGTGGACGAAATTGCTTAAAAGAACAATATTATAATGAGCAGAGAGCAAACGAAAGTACGTGAGAGAAAGTGTGCAAAAATAGTGAGAGAGTATGATAAAAATAAACTTTTCTGAGCAGGAGATGGAGAGCATACGATGCACTAAGTCATCCTAGTATTTTCATAATGCGCTCTTTCTCTCCTTCTTTGCATATATTGTGTTCTGTCGACGAATTAGTGAACGAATTCAGAGAGAAGTAGTTCATTACGTATTCACTAAAATCGGTGAGTCTTTTCATATTACATGATTTTTGTATTGGAAAGTTAAACTATTTTCGGTAAATTTTGTCTAAACTTAGTTTTAGAGAGACTTCATTTAAAAAAATAGATATTTAAAATAGCTTGTTGCTGTTAATGCGAACTTTAGTCTTTATTATAGAGTTTGGACTACATTAAGCTCATATGAGAGCGTGTCGGTATTCCGATTTTGCCATTTACGAAGTATTAACAACTGAGTTTTAGGTTAGCAGGCTTTATATACTTTTTGAGTCTGCATTAGGTTTTAATATAATAAAAAACAAAACAATAACCAATAAAGAAAAAAATTAACTCAAAAAAAATTTGCGTAAACTCAAAATCATGAAAATATATTGTTAAATTACTTTTAATTGTATTTACATCTTCGTTCACGACAAAATGTAAGATTTTGCTGTTCAAGCACACAATATTTTGCTAACCGTCATCTGTGCCGACCAACTTTTGAGAAGCTGAATAACGGAATGAACGGAATAAACGAGCAATTCAACTCGTACGAGTTGCCAACGAGTGCACACACTCGTCTGTAGTTGAATTGTACCAGTTGCAATAAGCGTGTACGGTCGTTTATGTGTAGCGTAGTGTGTGTGGGAGCGAACGAGTAAAATTAACAACACCACCAACGCCTTCACCACTACGACACGCTTGTGAGTGGTTAAAAAAAGTTGCTGCGAATAACCCACGACTCAGAAAACGACACTTGAATGGCCATTCCCGCTGACGACCGTCGAGTGAGCCAACGAGTGCTGGCCTGCCCCTTACGGCGCCCACACGAAAACAGCACGAGCATACAGACGAAACGAGTACGCTGACGAACGCATGTATGAATGGGCGAAAATCCTTTAGTACTGAAAAGGTCGTGGTTTTGTGTAGTCGTCGTTTGGAAAAATAGCGCAGCAGCGCAGCTACGTTCTTTCAGCTTTAGACGGTGTGTCGCGTCGCGGTGTGTGTTACTATACGTATTAATATGCAAAAATATATACATGGATGAATAATATTAGTTTTCCATGCAATAACGAAAAAAAAAAATATATACATATAAAATAACTCGAGATCAAATCAAATATATAGTATAAGCGCGTTATTGACGGAAGATATAAAGAAAGAGCTATTAAATAAGTTGCGCGAAAGTGCAGCAGACGTTAAAATAAGATGCGTTCATAAGCCTATAAACAAAAAAGGCATTGATTTCTGTGAAAAATTATTTGCAAAAATAAATTACATTTGAACTAATGCAGCTTGGAGTGAAATGCGGTGTAATGTAATGCAACTGCGCGCCTAAAAGTAGGCTACGCTAGTTAATGTTCATATTGTAAATGCCAGCAGTTCGCTGGAGGTCCATAGGGCAGTGCGCGCGTGCAAAGGCTCAACGCGATATTTCTATATAGTATAGCTTATAAGTGCTTGTATGAGTGTAAGTAGTCGCCGGCGAACATAAACAAAAAAATTAGCGGCAATTTGGCAATGTTGGTGTAAATTCTAAAAACCAGTTTTATTCTATTTGCGTGTAATATTTGCATGTAAAATTTGTGCGCTAGCATGGATTGGTGTGCGTTTGTAAACTTATGGTATACACGGTAAGCCTAAAAGCATGCTCGTTTAGAAAAAAGTGGTTTGGTCAATATATTTTCGTGGTTGCCCTACTCCATGGTTATAATATAATATAAGATCGGTTGTGGCAAACATTAATTGTTTTTGCTACGAATTAAGCCAGTCTGTCGTTAAATTTTATATATTTTAGCATAATGTGATCACGTGTGTTTTAGCAAATAGAATTTTCAACGCAATGAAATTTCATGCAGCATATGATTTTTTGTCTAACATAAGTTGAAGGTAAATATGAATAAATAAATTTAATTACTATTCGAAGTTTGAGTAAAGCAATGAATAATTTATTTCGTTAATAAACTGTGAGCTACACTTTCTTAATATTTTTAAATATATTTCTTTTTATTCTTAACTCAACTACTAGTCTTGAATACAAATAATCTCATTTAAGTTTGTAAAATTTAGCTTTAGGCTCTAAAATGTAAAAGCTAGTGTTAAATAAATTTTTAACCAAGTTAACAAAGTTAAATAGTTTTCTAAATTTAGTATTTGTGCCAGAAGTGGGTAAGCTTCCTCTAGCAAACGCCAGCTTTGTTTGGCAAACGTCAGCTTTATCAAAAACAGCGGCGAGTAAATGGTGTCTATTTATTTATAATGATATATTTGCCACAGAATACTAACCAATTATGGTGCCCTAAATTAGCTTTATTCCAATTTAATTAGCTTACACATTTTTTGAGCTCGTGAAAATATTAAATAACTACTTTATAGCTATAGAACTACGAGTATATTAATTTTATCTGAAAAGTTTGTAAATAGTACGCTCTTTTATTTATGCTGCTAGTAATGGTTACGTTCTTCTATGTAGAATGTATGATTGTGTAAACAATGTCACTCATCCTCTAAAGGTATGCTTCCTTTTGGCGTACTACAAAAATTAATTTCCCTATTTTTAATATTTTTTTTATAAACAACAGTTACTTTAAACACTTTTCTTTACCAGTTTTGTATACTAAGCAAGGCATAACACTTAGCTGAAAGTTTGATTCTTCTTGTCAGAAAATCTGACTCTTTGACTTTGTTGTATACCAGTAGGCGTCTGGGGCAATATGATATCTTGTCTATGACGTTATATTGAGTTGTTAATCAAATTAAGGAATATTAAGTATAAAATAAATTATCTTCAAAAGTACAAACTTCACACAAAATAACAATGAATTTGTGGTGAATTAAAAAAATAGTCTTATTAATAAGTGCCCATAATGGTATGCTACAAAAAGCATCAAAAAAATAACGACAAATTAAAAATTGAATGAAATAGCGTGTAACCTGTATTCAAGACAGAGCAAACACATGTAAATATGTTAGCAAGAATCAGATTTTTAAGTGAGCCACTAAACTACATACACCTCTACGATGTAGAAGGAAGCTTGGCCCACAAGTTGTGCGTCATTGACGTCGACAATTTTACGCAAAATTAAGCATTTCCGTTCAAAGCGGCAGATATGAAAGCAGGTTGAGGTCTCTGCAAAGCCAAAACGGCATTGAGAGCGCAACCAGTGAGTGCATAGAGGCATTTAAAGGAGATTTTACAAAAAAGCAACAATTTACCTACAGGATACGCTAAAGAAAAATCGAAGTAGAAGGAGTAATAACAGTGAACTAAAGTTTACTCATGCACGAAAAAAGGCTGTTAAGCGTTAAAACTGTTGAAATTTTTTCCTTTACGGTATCGTATGGGTGTATGCTAACACGTGTGCATGTATGTATGTGTCTAATGCCAATAAACTTGTGTAAGCCCTTGCTTGGGTAAGGGTCTAAAAAGTGTTAAACAACTCTTTACATTATCTTGCGTACATACAACTAATTTTTTTTTGCTTTTTTTATTTTTGTTTTACTTAAATAAAGCTTATAGCTCATAAAAGGTGGCATAAGCGCTAAAATGTAGCATATCTCAAGGCTTATATTAACAACCAAAACCTGTGTGTGTGTGTGAACATTTACTACACGTTTTATGTGCGGACGCACGTGGCTCATAAATTGTTTGCGGTAAACGAAAAATACATCAACAGCGAGGCACATAAACCGGTTGTGATCATCGAATGTTGGGTATGTGCGCCTACAAATAGGCACTAACGCTAGTTAACAACCAATCTTACTACTTATTTTGAGCGCTGTGCTGCGTGGCTATAAATCATAAGGTAAAATAATGCATTTAGGAAACGTAAAATAAATATCAACAGACATAAATTGTACGCGAATGAGTAGTTGGAGGCAAAAAACGAAAATTTGGTGAGCAAAAATCAAGTGCATTTGTGAAATACTATATTTAGGCAAAGAAAGAATTGACATCAAAAAAAAAAAAGCAAGCATTAAAATTCGAGTGAAATATAACGTTTTTTTAAAAAATAAACACATTATGTAACAATTTGAAGTTAATGACAAATCATACATTGCGGCAAAAATAAAAACCAGCTTAATTAACTAATGCTTTTATATAAAAGAATATATAAGAAAACACTGGCATACGAAATTATTACATCGAAGCAAAGTGTTTGTGTGCGAACTTGTAGCTGTTTAAAATTACTCGAATCTAACATATTTTTCGCCACTGCGTTGAAGGTGAGTAATTAAAGAAGTAGCTACTTTATACTAAAATAGTTAGATAATACTAATATTTTTATATAATATTTATATAGTATATTTAATATTTCTATTTCAGATTTTTGTTTTAGTACTGCAAAATCGCACAGTAATACTACTTAACTGAATTTCTAAAGTAGCCGAAAATAGCCTTGTAACGAGAGTGCAACATTTTGAGATTTACAATAATATTATATAACTGTGCAACTTCTATGATATTATAATTATCTTGCCTCTGAAGAAAATATGCAATTTTCGGAGAAGTAAATGTTAATCCATTGATTGATTTTAGTGGTTACGATACACTGCAATATTTTACATATACACACAGTATTCGACAAAATTATGTACACCCTGTGAATGTAAAGACCAAAATACTTATTTTTTAGCTTTGTTTATTTTTCTTTTTTCAATATACTCACAACATTAAAAAAAATGAATTTAATTAGTGAACAATTAATTGTAAAATATGCGATTATCTGGAAAAAATAGATATTTCGCAGTGGCAAAAGTAGGTATATTCTCTATATATTGTATTATAAGGTAACGTTCTAATTAGTACTTCAGTATTTACTGTTGCTACCTTCAGCGTAAAGTAGAGCAAAAAAAAATGTCAAGGCATGCAGTTTATCAAGTGCTAAAGAATCGATTGTGGTATGCTTTCTCAGGCGTCCTACAATCTATTAAAAATAGCTTGTTTATTTTAAAGCCAAGAAAAACAGTCATGCTAATCATCTCAATATTTTTAATAGAATTTAAGTAAAAGCATTCGGCAGGTCATGGTAGGAGCTCTATCGCTTTTGATTGATCGAAATATTCTTTCGCAACCCGACTTTTATGTTTGGGATTATTTTGTCTGGCTGGTATATAAAGTTATTTTGTAAGCTCATATATTGCTCTGCGGCAACTAGATATGTACTCAGCATCTGTACGTAGGACTATCCCACCATCTGGCTTTCGAACATTATCAGATTTGATAGGAATCTGTAGCTAAAGCAAGCACCAAACTAAACATATCCACATTCGCAATTTATGGTGCTTTGGATGCACTAACTATGTAGCCTCTCATGACGCTTACGCCAAATTGTTTCTCTGCTTTTCGTAGTTTTAAATTCAAATTGGCTATAATCACGCCAAATTATTTTTGTTTCCAAAAACTTGACGGCATTTGATAATACTTTTCGGCAAATTCCAAATTTGCTTTCAAGTTCTTTATGCTGATGAAAGTGTTTTGGATCTTGTAGTAGCTAGCATAACAAAACTTTTCAGTTACTTCGCTGAAGTATTCGCTCAGAAACATTGAATTGAAGGCTTTGCTGAAAAAATCGAGCTAAAAGAGTCGGTTCTTTTTTGGCACATTAGAACTCTTAAAAAAAATAATCAAAGAATAGTAAAAAATTTGGTGGGGTACCCATAGTCTTGTCGGTATTAACAAAATTTTAAGCTTCTTCAATCAATTATAACCAACTTACTTGTATAACCGAAATTTCAAATATGTTTTAAAATGAGTAGTTTCTAGTGTTAATCGTTTTTTCCATCGTCTGTATGAAATTTGGTGTTATGCTATTTTTCATTTTAGGTAATAATTTATACATCCTATAAAAAATAACACCAGTTATTATAAATTTCATAACATATCAGAGCGCCGTTGGAATCAAAATGACTTTATACTAACTTATTTCTTACGCTTCTGGTGCTGGATTTGCTATCTTGATAACTTTCAAGCTCTCTAGTTGTATAGCTTCAAGAACTCGGTACTGTTTCTGGAAGAATTCAAACACTTTTTTATGCTTTTTCAAACATGTTTCATTGCCTAATGTGCACAGATTTGATTCTCGGTTTCGTTTCATCCGAAAATCTGTTGCGTTGCACGGAAATAAAGATTTACCAAAAAGGTTACATCTCGCACTAAAAGTGTCAAATGAAATTGTTTGATGCAACATTAATTATATGATTTGCGAAATAATAGCATCGTGTTAGTTTTATGTTTTTTTTTTAAGATCCACAGAAGTGGCTCTCAAGCCTTCAGAAAAACTGCAATATATTTGAAACTTTGCCCTCTTCATTTATTTCGATGTTTATGCGCCTCTCTTCAGCAGCTAAATACAAGTACTAGTATAGATACATATATATTATTTCCTCTTGAAATTTCCCATTAAAGATCCATTGAGCGACGCTGCATAAATTTTGAAGCTACTTATTTTAGGTTAAAATCCAATCAAA